AGAAAAAGAAAAAGAAAAAGAAAAAGAAAAAGAAAAAGAAAAAGAAAGCTGTATGGTACTGGCATTCCAACTTCAGTGCTTGTAACCTAGTTTTGTATTTGAAGAATAAGAACCAAACTGTGCCTCTTATTTACAGAAGGTTATGTTGCATGACGGATTGTGTTCTGATTTATGTCATGGTTTTATAGCTGCATAAAAGCCAATGAAAGGCTAAATATTGAAAATCCATTCTCTATAACAAATCACTCATTAAAGAGAAAGTCTGAATTATTTAACATGTATTTAGACAGTGGTATTATTGAAAGACTTCTTTATAGAAATGTAAAAACTGCTGATCTTTGACCAGCTGTCAGTATTTTCATATGTTAAATTTCAGTGTTAAAAGTTGGCTTTGCTTTTCAGATTGTTTTGTCTCAAAATATTTTCTCTTAAAAATGCTGTGATAAATACAATAGGGATTTTTGTGTGTGTGTGTTTTTTAAACTTTTGGAGTTTAGATGACATATTACTAATAGCAATATACTTGAAACACATCTGCTTGGTAGTAATGTCTTATCTAATGGTGATAGAACCTTTTGGTGCTCTTACTGGATGAAATCAAGGAACAACAACATTGTTTGGGCACATTCCACTTGCCCATGTTATCTTATAGTAAGCCATTTCTGCAGCCTCTTTTAAAACAAAATGTGATGACATAACATCTAAAAACCCCTCTGAGACTTCAGTAATATTGAGACAGATGATGTTTCTGATTATAAAAGAAAGAAGCATTACAATATGTCAAAATGGAATGCAATGAGTAATGTGTGAAAAGGGAAGTAAGATACAGGAATAATAATTTTGGTTTGTAGATACACTTATATGCATCAAGTACACACATGCACATTTCTAACCTGTGTGTTTGAGCACATACCAGCAAGAATTCAACAGTACTCTCTCATTTTCATATCAAAAATCTATCAAATATCAAGAGTCCCTGTTAGTCCTTCCACTTCTATTAATTACTTAAGGGCTTTTCTGGTGGAAGAGCAGGAGTTGTGTCTGAACAGTAGTTGTGGAAGAACATATCCAGATGTGAGTGGGCAAAGCATGCTTCTTTTTCCCATTAGTAACCAATGATCAGACTGGTATAAGTGCAAAGGTGTAGGAAGCCAGCAGGTTGATCCAGCACCTTGAAAGATATGACTTTCAAGAAGGACAGAATGGGAGCAAGTAGGAATTAAGAGGAAAAGGGACTTAAGTTTGGTATGGTAGCACAAGAGGTGCTGAAATGTCAGAACCCACAGACGCAGCATCTAAAGCTGGTATTAACTGAAGGAAGAGGGTGAAATATTGAAGTGGTGAGAAGAAACTGTTCAGCAGGACTCTCCTATCTGTGCAAACATGGAAGGAAAGATGAAGGAAGAAGGTAATTATGGAAGAAGAAGATTGCTCAGTGAACTTGCTGTGTCGTAATAGAGCTGAACTGAAATTAAAGAATGCCAGTTGGTAGTTCTGGTGGACTGGAGCAACAGGAATATCACACAGGGGAAAAGAGGATATGAAGTGACTGCTGCAAAATCTGCTCTAGGCTTTGAAAAAGGCCTGTATTGGAAGCTGTGTTCCTTCAAGCTTTAAAAAGGCCTTGAGAGAAATGCTAAATGCTTCAAGTAGCATATATGATAATGAGGTTGGGAATGCCAGTTTACGTACTGACTATGAAGTAGGCTTTTATGATCCTGTTGTATCAATGCTTTTGTTCATTATTCCCCTGCAGTATTTTGCTGAAATGTCACCATAAACACAAGCATGACAACTCTGTTGGCTGTAGGAGGCTGTTTGGGATGCTTGACTCGTGAGCATCTACAATTACTTAGAGTAGGCTACTTAATAGTCAAATTTTTCTGAGAACAGAAAATTGCATGAAAATTGTATTGATGGTACAAGAACATGAAGGTGGTATATCTGTGTAACAGGAGCTGAATTGAAATGGCTTCCTTGCTCTGCACATCTCTTCAGAAAGATGCTGTTGCTGAACTGAGCTCACTAGGAAATTAGACTGGTAGATTAAACAGTGCTAGAGAAAACTCCTTGGCAGATTTCTTTTTATGGGGTTACACATTTAAAGTAGTCCCTGTCATCACTGTGATCCAGGTCAACTAGCATCTTCTTTCCAAATTTTCAGGCACATTTAGCAGGAATGTTCCCAACAGGATTACCCTGTTCTGAAGGCTCTCACAGTTAAATAATGGGGGTACATGCATTCCAGTTAGATTGCTAGAGGATGGTCCTGGGGACATTTCATGATTTTTTTGTTGATGCAATCTGACTGGAATAGTCTAATAAGTTCCATTTGTTTTGTTTTTACGTAAACATGTGCTGCCACTCCTTTAAAATTAAGGGCAGCTTAAATGTATGGATGACTATATCAGTGATAATTTTAGGCTGTTTTTTTCATATGAGCAGGTGTCTGACTCATTAAGCCCTTGTTGCATGTATTCATTATAATGCACACAGATGGACATGGTAGGTACCCAGCAATTAGGGTAATGCATAATTAAATGAAGCTGTGCTTAACTGTTGAGAGTATTCAGAGATAAAAGATAGTCAAAAGCAAGTCTTTAGTGTCCTATTTTAAAATTTTTATTTCCATAAAGTACATCAAAGTATTTTATTTAGGAGACCTGGTACCTTTTCTTAGGAAAACCAAACATCTAACATTTTAATAATAAAGTTGAGCAAATGCTGTGCTTGTGTTAACCTGTTTAGCCATACAAAGCTGCTGTGAGAAAGGGCAGTATTTCTAGATGGAGGTATCAAAGCTGAGAAAATCCAAAAGTCTTATAGGATTTAGAATAGGAATAGTGAAGTTAAAGCTGTGATGCTGAGACCACTAGAAAAGTAACCTTATTTAGTTTGCCAATCCCAATTCAGAACTTCTTCCCCAGCTTTGCAGGCTGGAGGATGACAATATCTGTTCAGAGTTCCAATGAAGGTGGCTCAAGATGGTATGAGTGCAGCAGCAGGCATCTCTTTCCAGTCACAGCTTCAATGCAGAATTTTTTTTTTTTGGGGGGGGAGGGGATGTTTGTTTGTTTTGCATGATTCATTTTTAGAACCTGGTACATACAACAGCAGATTTTCCAGTATCTATGTCTGGAGATGCAGCAAAAGCTGAAGATTTATATTATTAAGACTGTACTTTGAATTGAGAGCTGAGGAATAATGCGTATTCATGTAAATCTTAAATAAACCTTCTGACAAGGTTAAACAAAACCTGATTTTTATTCTGGAAATAGATCATCTTCAAGAATTTTCACAGGTTCTTGTCATAGCATAAATTTCAGTCTTTGCGCTTGCCAAAAGACGGGTATCTTGTTTCAGGTTAAATTTGGCTAATATCCTCAAGGACATGCAGTCAGCACTAAGGAGAGTAGATTAACAAAGAGATAGATGACTACTAAACTACAAACTTCTACTTTGGCAATGAAGAGAAGGTCATCAGTGGTGGGTCTATCCATCAGTGGACAGAGGAGATTGTTTGCAGTAGAAATAACAGAGCTTTAAAAAGGAAGAAGAGGTCAAGGGGTTATAAATGTACCCAAGGCTGCCTGGGCCAAACCTGATCCTCAGAAACATCTTGAGACATGTGCTGCAAATGTCTGGCTCTCGTGCTGTCATTCTGGCAGGCTGCAGGAAGCCCCATCAGGCAGGTGCTGACCAAAGCCATCTTCTGATGTTCACTCAGGAGTGGTTGTGACCTACTGGAAGGTATTCCATTTCCTGGGCCTGGGGCACCTCATGGACACTAAGGAAGAGGGAAAGATTTGCACTAAGTTGTACATAGGCAGGTGTCCTTCCTCTTGAAACAGCGTGGCTACAGAGATTGTAGATATATCTTAAAAAAGCAGAACTTGAGTCTCCTTCTTACAATACCAGGCCACATGCAGACACTTATGTACAGCAGCTAAATTTCTCCCATTTCAATTCCATCTGTAAAAAATATGAATTTCATTAAGTAATTTGTAGACATACAATATTCTCAATCCCAAAAACATTAATTTAAGGGCCTTGGTTTGGGTGGGATCTCCAGGTAAACCACATTTGTTTTATTTATAATTAGGAGAGCATACATTAAGATTTACCATGGCATTGTTGTCCATGGATTGCAACACACATCCTAGAAAGGTCTTAACTAAGAACTTAAGGATGCAGTTTCCTCATTGATGGGGATTTCTCTGAGAATCTCTTTTTTTCTCATGAGTGCCCTTTCTTTTCGGAACGTAGGCTGCAGAAGAGGAAGGACCCTTCTGTTTATTAAGCACAGGCCTCCACTTTAATGTGCAACTGCATCGTATAATACCATGACCAAAATTTAATCAAACTGTGTCCTAACGTTGCTTCTCATGCAAATAGCATTGAGTGCAGTTGGAAGGGACTATAGGAATATAGGATGGATCAGAGCCTCAGCGTTTCCATGATTGTTTAACATAACAAAAGCTAGCAGGTCAAGCAAGCTAATGGAGAGCCACATGTTTAGAAGGAGAAGGCAGACAAAGCATAAAGCCTTCTAGGATACAGTGAGATTCTGTGCCATGTGGTGGAATATCTCTGGTTTGATGAGAACAAAGCACCCCTTATTTTTACAGAGGCTAAAACTGGTTTTAAAAGGGAATGAATACAATAAACACTTGTATTACATCAAGAATGACTCTCATAGGTGTAGGGGAGATTGTTTGAAAGTGTATCTTCAAAGTGAAACTTTACACTCCACTGGGAAATGGAGCAATTTTTTTTCTGACAAGCATTACCCTGAAAAGCCTGAAATAAGAGTTTCTGATGCAGATAGATTGCTCTTTGAAGAAATCCCTGAATGTACAGAGCAGTGAGAATGGAATTTGGAAAGCAAGGGGAGAGGGATTTTTCAGTTAGATAATGTTCGCATCTTATTTATCTCTGAATATTGCATGTTTAGAAATACAAACCAATTACCACTGAATGCCACTGATAATGTACGAAAAGGAGAGACATTTTGAAAGTGCCTTGCCTATTTCTATTAGTAAAAGAAAATATTTGCAGAGCCTGTATTGTAAAATTAGTGAGCTGCTATTGGATGAAAATAGCAGTGAACTTGAGAGGTTTTCCAGTCTACTGCTTTAGCTGTGTATTTGTCTGCCACAGGAATTATAAATTAGATTCTCCTTGGCAGTGAGTTCTGGCTTTTGCTATGTTGGAATGCCTACCTAGCACAGGCACCTCTGTGAAACACTGCACCATGCCCTTTCAAGAAAGGTTGGTGCTTATTAGCCTGGGCAAAGCATTTGCTTCTGGCTCTAAGCTGGCTTCCTACACAACAGGTAAGGCATATCTGTCTTCTGCTACATAAACATACATTGAGTGAAACTGAACAGAGTTAAAATATTTTAGAAAGCCATTTCATGCTGAGACCTACTTAGACCTATTTAGTTCATCTTAAGCTGTCTTCCCCCACTTCAGGATGTGTCATTTGCTGAGGTAAGCTAAAGTAATATGAAGTGGCTTTAAATCTGTACACACATGCATGCACTCAGTTTTGCAATGGTTTAACTGAAGTGTTTTTCAAATCAATTTAATTGATCAGGTACAGCCTGTGTATCCTTCCAGGCAGTGAAATCCCACTGCTTTGAGATTAACTGGACTTCCACCACGATAGTCAGGGTTATCTGCAGATAACCCTGTTAGAATCTGTAGAATATTTATGCTGTGCCAGTGCTGAAAGTGCCATATAGAAAAAGTGAGTTATAGACACAGAAGCTTATCAGGAGGCAGGATCTGGATTAACATTATCAATCATCAGCTTGTGTCTTAAGAGTAATTAAAACTGGTAATTTCCAAACTCATAACACCACTGAACTCCCCTGAGCCCTGCTTCCCTATGAATGTCTGAAAAAAATAGTCCACACTCCAAGAAAAGAATAAAGCCCCTAAACCTCATGTAAATAACAATGAAAATAATGGCATCAAACTTCACTGGGAAAAAAAAATGCCTTGAACTATACCATATGGCAGCAAATCATTGGTCTGGATATAGATAAACCACAGGGCAAGAATAAAATATTCATAGCAATTACTGGTATAGGCAGAATAGAACCCCCTCTTCGCACTTGCCGTTGTTATGGTGATTTCTTCTCCCAGCACTCACTCTTCTCCCCCCCCCCGATGCCATTGGCTCTCTCCATGGCTTTCCATCTGGCTCTTGCTTTCTTGTTTATCCCAATGAAATTAGCTCGACTGCTCATTTGTCACCTTGGAGGTGTAGTAGCTGTGAACATGTGCGGTGCAAGAGAGCAGGACAGGCAGATGGTGCTTGAGAATAGATAAACAGACAGATGCATTAAAGAGACAGCAAAATGGTTGGTATGAAATAGTGTCTGGAAGATGATGAATTGGGTTTGAGTGTGATGAGACATGGCCACCTAACATATGCAAAGAGTGGTGTTTTCTGATGCTTGTTTTCTTTTAGGCTGTGGGCACATGCTAGGGATTGCTGGAGCTCATGGATCAGAAAATCAAAGTTACCAAATTTCAGATAGTACGCTGAGACTTCATGTGGATTGCTGGAAAATGTGATATTTTCCTGGCTGCTTTTCCTTCGGAAAATGAAAAGTACAGATCCACAAATCAGCACCAATCACTTTGTTATTAATGCTTGCTCTTTGTCGTAGAAATGGCTTGACTCAGTGCACCATTTCTGAGGTCTGTGGTACCTTATTTTTGTGCATCAGAAAAATGATAGTTTCATTATACCCACATTTCTGCATCCAATGCACTGCTATCAGAACTCATGTCAGAATGATTGTGATCAAAATCTATTGTCCAGAAAGGAACAGTGAGATTTATCCTAGAAAACCACCAAGGAATTAAAGCCACAGGTAGAAGAACAGCATAGATGGAGACAGCAGATATGAGTAGACAAAGAAGAGCGACCATATCTAATAACGTGACCTGTTTGGCCAAAAACAATCTTTTGGCCAAATCAGATTTTTAATACTAATGAAAATGACATGCATACTTGTATGGCACAAGAAAAGTACCTATTGAGAAAGGATACACAGAATCACACAGAATCACACAGAATCACACAGAATCACACAGA